CCCTCGGGGAAACGAGAAAACGGGAGGAGCGTCGTCTCTCCCCCGATCCGATAAAGCGAAAGAGGGACCCCCTTGTGGCACGGCCACCACTCCTACGCGTTGACCCACGTGACACCGAGCCCGCCAATAAAATTCAAATAAACTCCGCCGTGCATACTAAATTATCACATCTTCCATTACCCGGCCGCGTGTGCCCATCCCCGAACGACCTGTCCCGGTTCCCGAGGAAACCGTTCACCCACGTCACCCGTGTCGAAATTCCAATAATTTTTGACTTTCGCCGATGACGCGGGACGATCGTCCGGGGGACGGCCGAGACGATGTCCTTCCGACGTTTCGAAACGTGCACGCTTAACGCGTCGCCGCGACGAGGGAAATACTTTAAGACCGCGGGCGAGACTTATCGCTCGAGATATACCGGGTTTAATTGATCGCTCTTAGATCAGGAGTTTAAGCTGTTCTGTCTGGGCAAGGAGAAAGGAGAGGGGATTGGGTTTAAGTACTATGAACGCTCGAACTTATACAATTGTTATGGAGAGTCTTATAAACTGTTGATCTTTGCAGCGATTGTTTATTTATTTTAGCCGTTGAGTGTTAGACTAATTGAAAGATACATAGCAGAATTAAGAACTATGTAAAGAAGAAGATAAAAATCAATGGAAATTGATACCGGTCTCATGAAAGTTCTATGAGTAATTAACACTAGAATCACTACACGCGTCAAAATAACACATTTTGGACTCTAGGTACAAATGATCCTCTAAATTATGAATAGTCGATTTGACTGTCCGGCAGTTCTAGCGTTAATCGTTTAGTTGTAAGCGTTGGTCGTATCGTAGACGGTCCGAAAGGGGTAACTATGATCCTTTACGATCAGTATATCGGGTACTCGTGGACCGTGACGGTGTCCCGACGTCATTAATCCGACGGCGGTGTATCCATCGCCGCGGACACGAGAATGACTCGTCCAGGAGGGTCCAGCGCTGATGAAGGGACGCCGGAGGTCAGGTGGTCTTTCCCAGGAACGCCCCAGATTTCAACATTACTCAAACAGGATCAACCTGCCAGGAAGGAGGCCATTGTTCGCCCTCGCGCTGTCGAGTTTCCTTCCGCCTCGACGGTACACCGTATCCTCGGCCATCGGGATACGTATCTTTAGTCAGCGGAACGTGTCAAATGTACCGTGTCGCTGCAAAAACGCACGGGAAATTGTGTCACTATATTGAATCGTCTAGTAATATGAAGCAGACGTTCTGTAAAATAACATTTATTTGCCGTTTACGATACACCAAGTGCAACGGTGTTCCAGAAGACACCTTCGTATCTGTCTTCAACTTCAAAGAATATTCCCCGATGAAAATGACAGGAAAATGTGACAAGAAGATTGTCGAAAATGAAACACATCTCGTTTCCACGATAATTCCAACTGAAGCTCAACAGTCAGTCGAACTCCGCGCCGATGTTTAAATGCAAACATCGGCGCGCCATCGACAAGCGCGCGATGTTTTAATTTCGTAGATTTTTTTCCTGCGCGCCAGTTTAAACGCGTTAAGGTGCACGAGAATTATCCAAACGAAGTTCCCGTCGTGTAAAACAATTAGCTCAGCCGTACCCCTGTTCCCTCTATCAGCTTGTCTACGCCCCGACTATTAGTATAATCGCTGGAGGCTACGACCCTTAGCCACCCCCGGGCGATTCACTTTAATTCTTAGCAAGTTAGAGCCGTCCTCCCCCGCCACCCCCTACGGCTCTTTGTTCAGCG